TCGTGATATTTAATGGATCGGATTACATTTTTTATTTTTCTCCGATATCCGATCCAGTAATTTAGGTCAGTATCGGACCGATACGTAATATCGGATCGGTCCATATCTAGTAAAAAATGCTAAACTTTATGTGAAATGCCTACCTCTGAGGGAGCAGTCTGTCATGAGTAAGGTACCCAGCCTTGTGCACCTCTTTGTTATAGTCGCCATACTTGGCCTGGACAGCGTATGAACCCAGCAACACAGCCGTTTCTGGGGGACAGTAGTTCTCATCATTCAGGATGGCCTCTTTCACCTGGCAGAAAAATGTGTGCGTGACTTTAAATTTACTCAAGACTGTAAGATTTAGTTAGCACTTATGCTGAGAACAGAGCAAGCTAGATAATAGTAACATAAAAATGTAATATTTTGAGGTTTTGAAAATAACTGAAAAACTAATTATTTGCTAAAAGTGTTGGTGTCCTGAGTGTGTGGAGTTACCTGCAAGAAGAAGAGTCTCTGGGTGATCTCCTGGATTAGTTCCTCTGAGACATCTTCAGGGAAGAACTTGGCTCTGAACTTAAACTGCAGAGGACTCTCTTTCTTTACATCTTGCTGGGTCACCTGGACTAAAAAAATAATAATAGCTCCATTATGTACTGGAATTTTTCAATACTATTTTTCTGTAGCCTCTGCCTTTTGTCTGTCTTGCTCACATGCTTGTTGAGCGTGAGGATATTTTTTTTGTAATGCACACTTGGAAATGTAGAGACACACTGTAATAGCAGGGGTGCTAGGACTGGGGATTGTTTTGGGGTGAGTGAAAGAAGAAGCTTGTTGAAAGACCACATCTGAGGCTTCAGTACCACAGTACTGCTTCTAGGCAAATACCAGACAAACAATAGACACAGACACTGGAGGAAACATGAAAGTGAGAGCTAAAGAGAAAGACCCCGACAAACAATTTAAGAAAATCAGTTGAAGTCCACATGCTTAAATTAATAATAATATTAATAATGGAATTTTGTTTTTAAGCTTCTCCATCAATCCATCTTCTTCCCCTTATCTGGGGCCAGGTCCCGGGGGAAGCAGCCTAAGCAGAGAAGCCCAGACCCCCACCTCACGTCCACCTCCTCTAGCCATTCTGTGGGAACACCAAAGGGTTCCCAGGCCAGCTGAGAAATATAATCTCTCCATTGTGTTCTGGTTCTGCTGTGGGGTCTCCTCCCGGTGGGACATGCCCAGAACACCTCACCCAGGAGGCATTCTAGTCAGATGCCCGAGCCACCTCAACTGGCTCCTTTCGATTAGGAGGAGCAGCGGCTCTACTCTGATCCCCTCGTAGATGGCCGAAATCCTCACCCTATCCCTAACGGAGAGGCCAGCCATTCTTCGGAGAAAGATCATTTCCGACACTTGTATCTGCGATCTTGTTCTTTCGGTCACTACCCAAAGCTCGTGATGATAGGTGAGGGTAGGGACATAGACCAAGCTTCTACTTTCCCACAAAACAAAGTGATATTTACCTTTTTATTGAGTTTCAGCCATGTGATGTAGCCTTTACTGTCCACATACTGTAGTCCAAAGAACCACACCTCTCGCAGGCCCACAGTCTTTACCACCTAAAAGCAAAAAAAAAAAAGAAAAATGGATTTTCAGTTTATTCTTCCTTTAGATAGCGTTTTTTCTTTGATGTCTGAGAAGTACAAATCTGTGATCTGTGGTAAGTGGCAGAGACATTTAAGAGAGAAGGGAGGCGACTGTTAGAACGTAAAGAAATCATATTTATCTTCTGCCTGTTTAACAAACAAGGGGTATTTATTATTTTCTTTTTTTTGGGTTGTATGGAAGCCCCAAACGCAATTTCATTGTTCTTGACAATGACAATAAATAAATAAATACAAATACAAATACAAATAATACAAACTGTTATAGGGAGCGTTTTTGATTTCATTTCTTATTATTCTGGCACTGACTAAACTCTTTCTGAAGGCACCAAAAACTCCTGTGCTGGGAGGTGGGGACTGACAGCATAAGAATACAGGAAACAAAGTGTCAACTTCTCAAGCACCCACACTCCTACATGCCAGGTTTCTGTCCTCACAATACTTTTTTTGCTCACCTGGTCAAACAGCTGTTTTCCTGTGGTATTTGGCTGGATTGCAAACTCCAACTCTGCATCCATGGTGGTCACACGGACATTGATCTAAGGGGGGGGGAGAAAAGAAAAAAAGGGGAGGAAGTTCACTTTGCTTGCAAATATTACACAAGTGAAGACATGAAAATAAGTTGTAATTATTCATGTGTGCGTGTTATTCCCTTTTTTCTGCTCCTGTTTTAGGCAGTTAAATACCACTTAAACCTATAAGTTTGAACAAATACTTTAACTGCAAGAACAGGTCAAGAAATCCCTAAAGAACAATTTTTTTAAGCGTGTTACGGACAGATGAGATTCAGAGGAACTCGAAGCACTAGGGAGGTGGGAAAAAAAGCATATCTATCTATATTTATCCAATCAACCAGTCTTCTGAAAGACTGCTTCTTCAAACTGTTGTACAAAAAGTGTGCAACATTCAAAGAATTTATGCACTTTATGCGCACACTTCATCTCATGTGCCTGACTATGCCACTAGTCTAAACTAGTCAGCAAAGCAATCGAATGATAACTTGATCCACTTGCGTTCATGATTTAAATCCTACTGAAAACTTGTGCTACCATCTTAAGTGAGAGATTCACACGAAGGGAAAACTGTACACTACTTTAAACAGATGGAAGTTGAATACTGGTTGTGATAAAGTGAGGTGGCTCACAAAACACTGAGGCAATACTGGCAAAAAGTATTTTTTTTATACAACCTTTACTTTTCACACAATAGTTATGGTTCTCTTAGAATACAGGATGTGGTGCACTGCATGTATGCACCAGTACTACTGACAGCTCATGTCAAGTGCTGCTGTCCAACTTTTCCTCAGTTGAGCAAAAATATTCCAGGAAATTGCAGAATTTCTAAAGAGGACAATAGAAGAACATTTTCCCCCATATGTGGGCAATGTGTCAGATCCTTTCAATCCTACCCTCTCAGCACTCTGCCAGTGAGTGAAGCCACACTTTTTCAAGGCAAAGACCTCTGTTGGGGTGGAGCAGAGGATAAAACTCAGTCATTGGCTGTTCCTCTTTAAGCAGCACTGGCAGTAGGCCTAGAAGCAGCTGATGGCACAGAACAGAGCAGGGTTGACCTCCGTGGCATCTGACATCCTTCCTCCCACACCTACTCATACATTGAGCCGTGCATTGCCTCAGTGGTAGTTAACAGGACGAGAAGAGAGACGGAGGAAAACACAGTAAAGAGGAAGACGAGAAGCAAGCTGAGAGGCGGGGTGCAAAAAGCAAAGTTTAGCAAGAGCGTGAAGGGAGGAGAGAAAAGAAAAAAAAAAGAGCGTGGCTATGAAGCGCAACAGGAAGTTTGAGAGATGATCTGGGGTATACTCCTTTCGACATTAAATTACAGCGTTGTTGCTGTAGATGAGAAGAAGAAGAAGAAACTGAGGGAATGAACCATCCTTTTCCTCTCAGTACTTATGTATAAAACCTCAGGAATGCTTACTTTGCATTCCTTTTTCTCCCCTCTTGTTTTTGACACACTCTCCTGCCTTCATCTTTTTCACTCAATATCCCTGCAATGAATAATCCATGAAACCAGCACATAACTGGACCCCCACATGGAACTCAGCCCATAATGTATCTTGCTGGATCACCACATTAATTACCCAATAAATACTGCAGGACATGCCCACAATATAGATATCTTGCATGATGTTTTGTTGCACTAAAACACAAATTTAGTCTGCTTTGCACTGAAATTTTACTTGGTTGTTGCTAAAGATGCATTCAAGGAGGATTCTGCATATGTATGCAGAATCCTCTGGCTTCTACTGCAACCACAATTAAACAACAAAAACTAAAGGAGCATGTGCTACTGACTTCCAGGGGTCAGACCAGTAAAACATGCAAATCACAGTGAGATTGCTTATTGCTGTACAAACAGGTAAAATTTCAAATCCAGCCTTCAAAAATTCTTGTGTGGAGTGAAAAGTCTTTATCACTACTATCCGAGACTACAGATGAAACATGAAGAGAAGCTCTGAATGGGACTTGACTATGTTTAGTGACTGAATTAAGATTATAAGTTCACAAATCACATCCATCCTTTTCTTCTTTTGTGGTTGCGGCTTGAAATTTATGGAACGTGAAATGTCTGTGCTGCAGTTCATTGAGTTTTCTATCGACACCGGGGGAAGTGTTTTCAGTCCAAAATACAAAATCCATCACGAGAGGGAAGAGAAAAAAACAAAACAAACAAAAAACAAATAGACTCCAACAAGCTGAGAACACAGTTCAGTTCAATTTCATTTATATAGCACCAAATCACAACAACAGTCACCTCGACCTCCTTGAGGCGACTGTTGCCGAGCCTCTCAGCTGGCTTGGGAAGCTAGACTACACTGATGACCATTTACATATTATGGCACAGGAGGGTAACAATAAGACAAGGAAGGAAGACACCAGAAACACATGTTTACCAGAATAAAGCAAAAAAAAAAAAAAAAGACCCAAAACATGAATTAAGAGGGGGGATAACACAGGAAATACTGAAGGGATGAGCAGAATTCTAAAATTCCAATTAGTAGCTAGAACAAAACAACAACCAGGCAAAAATAAGAAACGTGAAATCTACACAGAGCACTTAAAAATAAGAATATCAAACTAAAAGATCAGTATTTTAATAGGAGAATATGGAGGGATTCAGGGATGCTTTATGAATGGGGTCACTATGGGAACTTGACACCAATGGCTGGGATCCAATAACATAAGCTACTTATGACACCACAACCCTGTCAACATTTCAATGTAGACACTAAGGATAATATTACATGAAACAGGGGCTACTGATATCCAGCTCTTTACCTTGCTTGGCTTTGCTTAAATGCAGATACTTCAAACAATAGTCTGTGTTGGGAAGGTTACTTTTAAAATGTATTCCACTACAGATTTACATGCCGCAAAATGTATTTTGTAACGAGGAAAACACGAACACAGTGTACAGTCGAGTCTTAATAGCTTACTTACAACTGGGCTACACTGCCCGTGAGGCTACATTCTTTAAGGCTATGCCTGTAACACTTTGCCTATTGCATTCATATTAAATAATTTTTTGAACAATAATTCAACAAAAACAAAAACCCAACTTCTTCACGTCATTATGTGGGCTGCAAGTAGAGGTGACATGGGCTGTGAGATTGAGACACAGGCATTAGAGCCTCTTAATGCGTGTTTTGTTTGGGTTGCCACTGGCATGAAATTACCAAAACTAGAGGGGACAGCCTAACATATGAAACAGGAAAAGACCGCTGTGTAATCCATTTATTGAGTAACACATTTTTAAACGGTAACTGTAACGGAATAGTTACTCATATTTTGTATTTTAAATACGTAACGCCGGTACATGTATTCCATTACTCCCCAACACTGACAATAGTAACAGACTGAAGATAACTCAATTTTAAAACAAACTAATGTGGACATACTGAGGTTAAGAGTTTTTAAAGATGAAAAAGAAACAAGAACACTCACTGATTTTTTTGATGTACTGTTTACTTCTGTGTGCCTGTCGATCTGATCTCCCTTATAAAATAACCTTTGTATAACAATAACCTCTTCCTGTTACTGAACATCAATTGCATTTGGATAACTGTAACTAACTAGTCAAGTAACATTTGGATCTACTCTTGCAGGTGCACAGATCTAGCCACAAACAAGGTAACCACAGCAACATAATCTATTCATGGTTCACTGAATATAGACTTTGTGTTGATTTCACTGCCTTGGTGACTTTATAAGAAAAGTTATACAGAATGTAGTGCTAAGTTTGAGTTTCCAAAGGACTGGAATAGACTGCGAGTTCTCCTCTGTTTGTGTGGGGCCCGCCATCAGCCACGATAGAGCCAACCTTTGTGCTACGTGTGTGTGTGTGTGTGTGTGTGTGTGTGTGTGTCTGCGTGTGTGTGTGTGTGACCACACCATAGCAAACCCACAGGGCGGAAAGAGGTGGAATCCTTTATGGACCAGACGGTTAGTTAATCCTGTCTCTCGTACAGAGTGGGGGGGAGGAGAAGAGGGACAGCAACATGCCAAAGCAATGACACAGCTAATCAGACACTGACAACTGACATGCCTTGAAGGAGTGACTTTTGCAAGCCTGTCCTTAAACAACACTATTTGGTGACACAAGATACGCTGACTGGGCAACCTGTCCTTAAAAGGACAGTGTTAGGCATTTGAGGAAAGACCTGGAATGGGAATAAATTCCAAAAAAAGGACATTCACAACAATCAACACAACAATCCAGGTACTCAATTCCATCACACTGCCATAAGAGGATGCCTTGCAAGCATGTGAACTGACAGACCTTGAAAGTTCCTAAAAGCACAACATAAACACTAAAATTAGTATGACACTGGATATCCTCTTGATGAGTCAAGTTCCAGTTGGAGCCCGACATATCTCAGAAGCAGTTCCAACATCTAGCGGAAAGATTTTAGAAGCTTCCAGTAAATGTTATACTGGAAGTACTAATACTCTCATCATTCCTTCTTTTCACTTCTCTTTCTTACTACTGACCTAAAAATATTAACTACTAGTTTTACTTGTGTTAAGAGGAGCCAATAATGAAATAAATGATAAACTGGTACACTGACACTAGCTTTAACCTCAGTGCACAGCGTCCTTCTGCACAGATGGACAGAGAAAGATCTGCCTGAGGTTGGACAGCAAAATCTTGTGGAACAATGTTGGCTAAAGGTTTTCTTATTCAGGAAGAAAGGGGGAAAACAAAACAAAAAAAAGTGGCTTAAGTGGTCTAGAAAATTGAAAAATGTATATAATTGGAAGTAAAGTGTGGTGATCACTGTTGTGATTTCCCCATTAAAACCCCCTCCAAAAAGATCCAAAAATCAATCTATAATCCAATCATGAAAACTTTCCAGATATCAGAACAGGCAAATATACAAGTCAAGCAATCAGCTGGGAGTAACCAGCTGACCTAATCAGTTGTGTCAAAAAAGTCACAATGCTTATTGTCCACACTGAGACCAAGATTATTTGACAGAATAATTCAGCTTTTGGGAAAATTGTACAAATATTTAACTTGACTCATATTTATTGAAAGTTGCCTGAACATGACAACCTCACAACCTGGTGGGGAATCAATTTGGAAAGGTGTGCACTCAAAGACAAGCAGGAGCATGATCTGTGAAACAGACCGTATCACAATAATCATTTTACTTTGATTAATATGATTTAGTCATAACTGAAAGTGTAACAATTTTATCAATTGCACTGCGCTGCTTTTGCTCTCATCTATAAAAACTAATGAGCACACATGATCAGACTGGCTGCTCAATACAGAGCAGAGAGGGTCAAATTACAACACACATACAGAGAGTGTGATTTAACTAACTGCTGAGGACATGCTATTAATAAGCACACCTGAGTGCTGATATAATATAATACAGACACAATATTTACCACTGTATCTTGTTAAGTTTACAAGTTGTGAAGAATCCAAGAGCTCCATCATTAGTGTTTTGTTTAAAGGGAGATGCCATTTTGGGATGTTTCTAAATCCTCCTCTCAATTTCAATTGCAAAGACAAGTTCTCACTCAAATGGGCCCCTTGTTAAATGTGCAGCTGTTTAGTAACTGTAAGCTGTTTAGAAGAGCTTTGCTGAGAGGCCTTAAGACACACACATCAATCAGTAGAGCCGCTAATCTGGCCTGCTGGGCTCCGAGCAACTGTCTGTCCCTCTGATTAACCTCCCCTGCAGAGTAAGGCAGTTCTCAACGGAGGAGTGGAAGAAGGCGTGAGAGCAGATAAGGAATCAAAACTACCTGCAAACAACAACATTATTGCTTTGGGGGAAGAGAAGGTGAATGTTGTGTTGGAAGTATTGTTTATTTATTCGTTGTACGAAAGAGTGAGAAACTTGAGAAAATACAATAGAGGGAAAATAAAAGCTGGACCTTACCCTACTTATTATTGACCTAGCACAGTTTCAGAAATAACTGCCATCTGTGCCAAACGTGCCTGAAAACACATTAGTAAAAATGAAAGACTCCTTTGCTGGTTCTGCTCATCTTAATTTGATTGTAATACTGGGATTTCGAATTGAAATAGGGTCAGCATCAATTTCAAAAGTCTTAATTAAGCCAACCAATTAAAGTCCAAAAGTTTCAAAGTGCTGTTATCACAGTTTTTCCAGCACCAACTCCAGGGTTTACAATACTCCAGTGTATGTGGCAGTATCACAAGCCTAGCCGCCAGTCAGGTATACACTAAGCCCTTGCGGGGCTGGTGTTAGTGTTATTGGTGTCTTCATGAAAAGTGGTTCAGTAGTTTGTGAAATACATTCTAGGCAATTTAACACAAGACTCTATTAGGACTGACTTGTTTTTTCCAGCTGGCCTCAAACTGGCTACACCATGAACTACAGCTTTTGGTACTTATATATACATATATATCCTCTTGTCATAACCCCCCTTGCTTTCCAACCTCTTAAAATTCCTAAAGACTATCTCTTGAGGACCACAAATTCCTGCTTCCCACATTTACAAATTATTCCCCATCCTTCTGACTGCTTCCTCTCCTGACAGCCCCTTAGCAGTGTGATTATATTTTTCTCTTAAATCTCTGCTCCTCACTGTGACAGAGCCAGGATGTTGACGTAGACTGGGCCCCTCCAAAGTATATAGCAGGCCACCTCTTCAGCAAACAGGAAAACAGCTACAAGCTAGGAAACCAGTAAGGGCCCTCTTCCTTTCCCCTCATGACTACCCTGCCCCCAGTACAAAGAGTATACCAGGCAGAGAGAGTAGGATATAGGTGTCAGTGGAACTATGAGTGGGCGACAGACAGACAGACAGACAGACAGACAGACAGACAGACAGACAGACAGACAGACAGACAGACAGACATACATGATGTATCGCAAGTTTTTCCACATACGATGGTTAAAATGGCTTTATCGTAACCATTGAGTATAAATTGCCACCGTAATATTCCCCAAACCGGAATATTATTTTTTATCATCTTCTGGCATACAAGCATGCTTGTTTATATACTACCAGATAGGGAAAAAACAAAACAAAACATGATGACAGCGGGAGTTTCAGACGAACGACGGAATGAGACTCACTTTCGTTTGGATTTCACAAGGAGGATGTTGAACAAAATGCGGTAATATGCAAAACATGTTGTAAAACTACCATGAATTAGGGCTGTGCGATATGACCAAAATCTCATATCCCGATATAAGACATCTATCGCCCCGATAAAAAATTCTGTGAATCTCAGGCAGCTCGACTTGCGTGAAGTGTTTCCAGCTGGGCGTCGTGTACATGGAGTCGAATGTTTTAACCGATGCATGAAACTATACATTTTTAGACATAAGTTGTAACGCCCGCCGTTTTCTTTGTGAGTATTTATTACACGGCGTGCTGCGGGGAAAAGCCTGTTCTAACGTTTGAGTCTAAGGTTTATTTTTTAGCACCTGACGGCTCTTTTTGCTTCTCATCCGTAAATACTCTGCATACTCTTTCACGTGATTTAGTTTATTTTGAAAGGTCTCAACAGGATCTTGAGCTTTATTCTGAAAGGTTTATGTGGAAAATAAACAAGCGGACACGCGATGGTTTTATCGTCGTTGTTGCTAACGACAACGCATAAAAACAGGCTCTTGTCCGTCCATAGTGTGGTTATATTAAATATAAGAGAAAGAGAGAACTTTAAGAAATTAATATAGCCACTAAAACGGTGAAAAAAATATTGCCGTAAATTTTATTTTGCGACACCACGAAACGAAACGACAGACGTTTTCATATCGTCATCCAATATATATCGTTATATCGAACAGCCCTACCATGAATTTATTCCACCAGCTGAAAAGTCATCCACTGCAAAATTAAGACTGTTTTAAACTCGGCATGTCAACGTCCCCTCACACACCAAAGAAAACATTAAATAAACCAGCTGTGATACCCGTGACTGTTCTTAGTCAGTCATTTTTTTAGTCACCGTCTAGACTTGTGTTTCTGTCATTTGAGTTTATTGCATTTTTTATTTTACAATTTTTATATGTTATGATATTTCGATTCATTCTAAATTTTTCTATTTAAAGTAGAAAAAAAAAGTTGAATGAATGATTTGAATACCAGTGCAATTTTGGGAACTATATAGTGAATAATAACATTTGTTTTTGGAGGTTATTTGAACATACCGTGATATATATCATGTATTGTGATATGACCAGAAAATATTGTGATATTAGATGTTCCTCATATCGCCCAATTAGAGCTGAGTATAAGGATACTTAACCCGATTCATGATCAGTTAATCACCATCTATTTAAAAATAGCTATATTAACTGATCAATGATTCTTCAATTACCATAAACCTCACTTGCAGCCTTGGTGCATTTTCTTAAAAACATTGTGTCAATTTTATCGCTAAAAGTAACTTAATGGGGCGTCCACATGGGTGACTGTAAAAGCCTTACTGTGAACAAAAACATTTGTTTCCGTTTTAAAATAAACTTTGAAAATCTGCAGAGTCCTGTGACTGAAAATGTACTCTCTTCCAAGTCAGCCAATGCTGTCACTGACCCCTGCAAATATTTTTAAGCTTGCGTATGAATACTGACATTCAGATTTAGGAGACTGTTCCAAAAGGTTTTTATGTCATACACTAGTCCCAGAGGAGGTCATGTCTGGTGGACCCTGCTTTTGTTTCCTCTGTTTATTATGTCAGCGCTTCCCTGCGACAAGCTGCACTTTCTCTGTCAGATATTGTCTTTGACACAAACGTCACTCTCAGCAAAGTTGGCATGCCGTCCCAGAAGCCGTTTTTGGGATTTTGCCCTGGTGACTCAGGGGACGAGAGGGTTAAGTGAAGGATGACATCAGTGCCTGGCTGTCCTTCTTTTGTATCTTCCTAACTCATCCAAGGACAAACACCCACTGCCTAAAGAGGCAGACAAGAGATGTGTTTCACTTGTGGGGCGGCCTGGAACTCGTTGCCATTTCCTTGGAAAGTTTCTGATGCAATCTTCAGCAACTGGATTTTGATTTTTGTCCAAGCAAGACACAGAATGCAAATTTAGTCGAATTAGGCAACTAAAAATACAAATTACACAGTATACCTGCCATAAATCCCTTACTGTGCAGGGAAGACCACAGGGTTGGGCACTGATTGGATGCCAAAATGCTGGCTAAATAAATACACTGATAAAAATTATTAAAAACGCCACGGAAAGACAGAAGTGAAACTGAAAGTCAACTTTTCTCTGACAGTTACTACATGAATAGTTTGTCAACACTTAGAATAAGGGTGACGGCTGTCTCATGACTTTGTCCAGTGTTGAGTAAACACTGGTGGGTAGACTACCTAAAAGTGGCATAACTCGGCATCGTTTAATATCCCCAAACTACTTCCTGCTCTTGCCAAGTCTGTTCATGATGGAAAAGCAGCAACAGTGAGAAGCAGACAGCCATGAAGGGACTGCATCAAATTGGTTTTGTTTTGGCGTTGTTCACATCCTAGGAGTCTGGCATTCTCTCCACCCTTTAAGCAACAATGGCAGCAGTGTTGCAGTTGTGAGGCCTGTGGGCCAGGCAGTTCACTTCACACTCTGGCTGTTGTTTACTTGAAAGAGGCGTATGAGGAGTGGGAGCAGCCGTGGGGATGAAACTGCCACTTTCCAGATTGTTCAAAATGAGGATTTCGGTAGCAGAGCATGCCGACTGTTATGACAACTCACAAGCAGCTCTAAAGAGTCGGTTTACATGAGCAGAACTAGCAGGGAAGAAAAACAAGCCACTTTCACGTGCCTGATTCATATCATACTTCCTGAACCAGCCACATTATGTCCATCAAACAATCAGATTTAAGTGGCAAAAAAATAAGCAGATTTTCTGGCTTCTTCCCCTAACGCTGCATTACTGTAATAATCTGTAGACAAAAGCAGCTTGAAGTTTACTGTCAGTTCCTTACCGGCTTAGGCATCTTTGCTTCCTCTCCTCATTAAACTCAACAGCTGAGAGGAAAAACCCGTCACTGGACGGCAGAAAGACCTTTACCACAGGACCTGAAAAAAAAGGAAGAAAACATTTTGTAACATAAGTCCCCAGTGTTCATGGGTGAAACCAGAGACATTATTATAAAGAACTATTGATTCCACTCACAGAAGACCAAATCTAGAACAAGGAAGCATGTAGACCTATTTGCACTGACGCATGACGTTATCATCCCAGTCTAGCTGTAGGAATTTGCGCTTTTTGATTTTTTCGGTTAACCATATACATAAAGTAAAGTACGTAAGTAGCCTGGGTTTTGCCCAGTGATCTCACAGGATGAGCCAGAGACCTATGCAGCACTAGAGGGTTAAACAGGCCTTTGTGGGTGGTGGCCAGACTGTATATAATGTCACATAAAGTCAACGCAAGCATCTTAAGCATTTTCCTTTTATTTTTTGGCCATTTGATAACAATGGCAACAATGGTTAAAAATATTTTCATCACATTCCTGGTGATTTCCCTTTGTTTAAAAAAGGCCCAAGTCTCTTTAAACGGCACCAAAATTATTATGGATGAAAAACCCTAAAATAAAAGTTATGGCCTTCTCACTATTCATTTATACAATAGTTTCAGCTTGATTGGACGGGTTGCAAAAATGGCTTCAGTGTAACCAGGCTGATTTCTACAAAAAGTCAAAACTTCTAAGCAACTGCTGTCTGAGCACAGTATTTATTTTTATTGTTTTTGGTATTCTGTAACTCAACAGTCTGACAAGAAACACTACCATTTAATTTCAGCAAACATCTGTTACATTTAGCCAACAATATTTTCTAAATGTGACAAATTAATATAATGAGAACAAGATTATTCTGTCAAGCTCTAAATTTAGTCCTGTGGATGACAAAACTGTACATTAGAAAAAACAGAAATAACAACTAAAGGAAAGCACTGAAAAACACTGAAAGGAATAGTATTGCTAAATCTGTTAATGACAACAAGCCACAAAACCCCCAAAACAGCCATAGGCACAGTGATGCGGTTTCCATTCAATCACAACATGCAAAACCACTTTTCTTAAGTGTACATATGTTAACTATTGCAGAAGTGCAGTGAGAACACTACTTTAAACAATTCTGGAGGAGAGAAGGCTGTAAGACAATCGAGACATTATGCTGCGACACATAAAATAAAAAAGTTTTACATGACAAAGACCATGCACTCTCATGTCAAAAGAACTGATAGGACAAAGAAATATGCCAATCAACAGTTTTCTTGCTGACATCCAATAGTGATCATTTTCAGATGGTGAACTACAGAGGACCCCATCCATTCATAACCAGATTGCTTTACTTTTTTCTACTACGGACTGCAGAAAACAAAGCAGGGGAGGCACAATGTGAAGCTATGTGTCACAGCACTAGGTATACTTTACTAGAAACACAAGTCTGAAATAGTATGGTAATGACCCATGATGAACTTAAATAGGATAGTGAAAACATCCAACTCAAGAGTTTCTCTGGTGTGAATCACACGTAGGAGTTTCAGTGTGGTTTAATGGTATGAAGCTAAACTTCGTGAAGTTTAATAATACACCCCAGCCTGACTGAATGGAGAACTGTGCATCACGACTGACATAAGCTTGCTAAACGCCATTTAATACAAACGGAGAGCAGCCAGGTGTCTGGCATGGGTTTAAAAATCCTTTTAGCAGCCATTACATTTTAGTCTCAGCTATTTTGTAGTGTCAGTTCAGGATACAGATCGACTAGCACCACTACTCTTCTCAGTTTTGGAAATTAAAGAAATTATTAGGAACAATGATAGTTTCCATATGCAACTGTAATGTAAAAATAAGAATTTGTAAAACCCACTGAACGTCGGAGCTGTAGCGTTTGTGGTCCTCATAAAGTGAAACCCACTTGTAGCTTGTGAGCAATTAGCTTTACCCGCCGAGAGTTGTTGGCTTCCGTTACGTTGAACTATAACCAAAATTTAACGCCTAAAATATTGGCTACACAAGCGTTGCACAACGGAAAAAATAAGTCAGAGGCGTCAAATCCCAATTTTAAAAATGTATCTTAAATGAACACTAACGTTAGTCACTAGATCCCCCCCCCCAAAAAAATGGTCTTCATGAAGCCCAAAGTTTGCGCGTCGAAAGGCTGACATTATCAAGCTAGTGGGTGTAGTCCGTATAACGGGACGAGCCTAGCAGACGGTTGCCTCGCTCGCGCTCGTGAAGTTTTAACGCCTTAAAAAATGTTAGCCCTCATTTATTCGCCACACTTGCCACTAAAACGAATAAATATAAAAATAAATATCTTAACAAATTCCGACTTAAGACTACGTAAAGCAGAGTGGGGTGCGTTTACACACAGTTTAAGGGGCACAACTTGACAGAAGTCGGCCCTTCTGTGACACATGAATCGGTCGAACACGAGGAAATCCGCTGCATCAAAGTTGAAGAGAAGCTCCTCTCTTTTTGGGGAGAGGCAACTCACCGGGGGACGATGTCTGTCTTTAATTTGATAGAAGAGCCTCGTATCTTCAACTGTAGCAAAATATTCACGATGAAAAATGCCTTTTTACTCCGGGTGCTTGTCTCTCAGTGCGTCTGCCGTTATAAATTCCCGCAGACATGGAAAAACCCTTCAAGTCTAAACCATAAGGCGATTTGGGGGGGAGTCGCTGTAGAGCCAGCCAGAATAAAGTAACACAACTTCCGGTCTTAACTATAAAAATAAAACTACATAGTTAACTGGGCAATATTATCATTAGGCGGTTTACATCTGTTTACAGTTCATGAACATACTCTTAGATTTGATATCTTCCGTACCTTTGCATATAAAACAGCCAACATTTTTCACATTGCAATGATCCTGAATATTTAATACTTGTTTTAAACTTAAGTTTGATTGTTTTCTTTATTATTTTTACTCTATTGTTCGATTAGTTTTTTTTTAAAGCATGAGTCTGTACATTTTTTTTTCTAGACATAATATGCTTTCCCTTTTTTGTTTCTGTAGTTTCCTGTCATATAGCTAAAGTTAGCTGACAAAAACAAGGGGAAAACCACAACAAAATTAATGAGGAAAACATGACTAAACACAGAAGCAGTAATTAATAGTTAATAGCGGGACTAAATTAGTCCCGCTATTAATGTATCCATACAAGTGTTTCCAGAAAATTTAAATATGTAAGAGAATTAGGTAGCCTGCGGACCGCTTTCAGCCCTTCAGCTCGAACTTTATTTTGAAGAAAAAACACAAATATCCGCCCATGTCTGCAGTTTTCCTCGCAAACCTGACACAGCTAACTGTAGAGATGTACAATATGGCTGTCAGTGGCCGAGGATCAGATGGAAGAAATGTATGGGGCATGCACCGTGCGATGAAATGCATTAGCGATGATTTATGCCAGTGTAAGCCTGCTCCTGTAGGTTGGTCCGATGGGAATCCAAATGGCACTTACACATAGGCTTTTGTCCTGTTTTTTCTAAATGGCCTGCTCGTCTTCTGCAGTTTGAAACCTCCTAGATCAGTGGTAGAGCTCCCCACTCTGGAAGTATGCATCAGTACATTCGTTTCAAAGTTTTGTATGTACTGCAGAGATAGTCCCAAACACACCCAGTCTGCAGTCACTGTCTGAGCTGTTCGCAGAACTGACTCAAACATCAAGGACGTGTCCTTTTTATCTTGACTAAAACAGCTATGAACTGATTTTTAGTCCATACAAGTGGATATGGACGGATATCTAAGACTTCCAAACAATTGTGATGTCAAGCCCAGCTGATAACCTTTATCACTTAAAACTGTTTCCATCTATCTGTCCTGACACCTATCTTTGTAAAAAGATGACCAAAAAAGTATAAAATGCATCTTGATGATTAATTATCACTGAAAAGTTTGGGCTCCGAATTGTTCTTATGTTGCGTAGGAAAATGAAGTTTTTGATTTTAAACAATCACACATTGACGACAAATGCTGTAAGTCACAGCTAAACTGGGATCAATAACCAAATATAATTAATAATTTTTATAGCTGCTAAGTAGCTACATAGTAGTGCTGCAAATTATGTTAACAATCTGATACCAAGTAAATAGAGGGCCAGTATTGCCGAAACCATTAGTTTTTAATTATAAAGACAGTTTTTATAGAGAGCAATGTGTCCAGGTTTATGAGATGAATCACCATCAATTTGCAAATTCTGAACACATTTTAATGACCACTAAATCATTGTGATTTTTACTTTCCACAATCCACCAACTTATTTCTAGTCTTCCACATCCTGATCAGTCCCAGTGGAAATCTTAACTTCAGCTCAGCCTTCCGTCTTTCTGTCAGTCTCACTGCTTCCAAACCACACAGCATACATCATAGCAGGTCTCACCATCTTCTAAAACCTTCCCTTTCACTCTTGCTGCTATCCTTCTGTCACAAATCAACCCTGACACTCATCTCCACCCATTGCTTCCACTCTCTTCTTTACCTCTCTTGTGCAGTGTCTGTTGCTTTGGACGATACAATATTCAATGTAGACATTATAATCTATGGAATGAACAGTATGTTAAAAATTGTGTATAATTATTTTGTATTTTTTGAGTAGTGAGAAGTTTTAGGCACATGTGTGTTTTAATTTTTATCCCGATCTTTCATATTTTCGCCACAGAACAGAAAAAATACAGTGTGTCAAAAATATACAACATTTGTAGTGTTCTTTGTATTTTTGTATATTCTGAACACTTATTTAAAATATCATTTTTTTTAATGTGACGTGGGTCTTCTGCACTGAATTATTCCGCCACTAGATGCCATTGTGTCCCTGTTGTTGGTGATATACGGGGTAGGACACTTGAGCAAATCCTGCAAAATCAGCTGGTAGAGTAAATGAATGGAAATATTTCATATGCATGTAGTCCCACACCAGGAGGTGCATCCTTCGAGGCCGACTCACAAAGACTAAAAAATAGACACATCTGCTAAAAGTGAGTAATACTTTGGACAACACAATAAAAATCTCAGTTCGCGCAGTCACCTTGGAATTTATTACTGGAATAATATCAACAAACATAGTCCAGGGGACAGGGGTGTGTAGAGTTTAATCTGCTGCAAGATGAAGAAGGAAAAATGAGAGGAAGAGGAGGTAGCACTGGGACTTGGCTGGGTCCTGTTAATTGGCTTGGAATGGGCGGAGCTGCTGGTTTGCAAACTTGCAGGTAGGACGTAACTTTCATCACAGGCATGCCCGATATCGTCAGCTTACTGCGTATTTTATTCTACAAGTGTCAGTATTGCTGTATATCGGCGAGTTTCCTTTCCGGGCGCTCGGAGGCAGCTCATCTGTCGGTAGGACAAATTCAGTTATTCTGCGAAAGTTTGGCATCCCTTCTTCCAAAAAGTGCGCGGTCCTCAGATTTGATTTCTTGGATCCTCTTAGTCACCACCTTAGACTGACAATTCGGCTCACACTGAGTGACTCATTTATGCACTTGTGTGAGTAAAACATGAATAAAATGTAAGTAGGTAAAACGAAAAATATAAGTAATTGCAAAGTGCTGTGCAAAAGTCTTGAACCACTTCTCAATTGCTTCAGTTTTGTTTCCAATGAGCCAGAATTACTTTTTAAAAAGTGCTCTTGTTCAAGACTTTCTGATGGTCTTTCTAAGTTTTTCTTTGGACATTGGTTACTTTTTCACTCATTTTCAATCCAGTCCTTGTACCTGACCATTGTCAGAGGAATGTTTTTTTTTTCTTGTAGTTTGTTTGTTAAGCCATGAATCATTCAAGCATAAAAAAGCCACCTAACTTAAGGCGTGGACCAGTGTTTTGAGGAAACGGGAGAAGTGGAAGGCAAAAGAAGCAGAAAGGTATCTGAAAGTCATGTCCTTAAGAAATAGGAAAATATACAGCAAAGAACTGACACAGGACCTAACAGATGCATATGGTCCTTCAACACATCCATCTACTGTTCCCTGAAGCCAAATGTTGTCAGTGGAAGAATGGCTGTCAAAAAAAGGCTACGGTATGATAAATTACAAAAGAAGTGTCATGAAAATCAGGGGCAACAGGTCTTATGGAGTGTTGAATCCAAACGTGGTTCAAATCAGATTGTAGATTGCATCTACAGCCATCTGTAAAACACGGTGGAGGCTGTATCATGTCTGGGGTTTAGTTTCATCCAGTGATGTTGGGGACCTTGTCAAAACTGAGAGATCCTCAACATCACAAAACACAGAGAAGTACTACCAGTAAGTAATGTCAGATTTTGATCCACCATGCTATATCATCTGTTGTCTGACTGACAACAGCTTCATTTTTCTGCATCGACTGCCAGTGCAGTAAAAGCATTTCTGGATAGAAAAACACAAAATGAACTCCCCATAGGCCGGACCTCGTCATTATTGAAGCAGTGTGGGATAATCTTGACAGAGAACACAATAAAAGGCAGAAACATCCAAAGAAGAGCTTTGAATGTTCTCCAAGAAGCCTGGAGAACGATTCCTGAGTACTTAAAGAAATGATTAGAAAGCTTGCCTATTTTTCTTGAAAAATATTTGGACAACCCTAAAAAGAATTAATTTTGGGACTCCATTCATGTGTGTTGTGATCTGATTTATTTCGCTATTATCTCCTACCTTTTTTTTCTTTGCATTCAGGTGTACAGTTTGTTAAACCCTGGCAAAGTCCAGTCTGCCTGGCTTCCCTCCTTTTGGTCTGAAGACCAATATTAACCATGGCGGGAAAGTGAAATTGAAAGTGTGTTTTCTTGGCAAAACACATGAGCTTAAAACTGCCGATGCCTTTATTTCCACAAGCTCTGGACATCCCCACCCCTCACACCCCACCCCAGGTCATGTCTGTGAACCTGGTTGTTAAAACTGTCACATTGTATTGCATGTGGAACTCGCCTTGTCTTTATTTAGCTTGGCTTATTACCACGTCACAAGATCTCAGTCCATATGACTAAGAGCATGCTGTTCTATTGTCAAAGCAATGAAAGGAGCCTCTGTCAGGGGGGACTGGTAATTGGAGAGGGAATTGACCAAATTTGCTTTGATTGTTCTACCAGAAGTCATCAGAGCTGTGCGTGTGTGTGGTGAAGAGAGGAGAGGAGTCTGTGTTGCTGTAATATAGATCTCACCTGCCAGAAAACAGCCTGAAATTCTGACATTGACACTGTTTGATCTCACTTGATATCATAACTGAAACTAACCACTTCAGCTGAAGCAATATTTGCTTATAAAGTGCTGACTTGTGCTTTTAACTTGAATCGGTCAGCAGATCCTGACATGGATCACTGGATGTGTTGGTTTAAGGAAGACAGTTGTTAGGCTGGGCTTCCCACACAATCATGTGATCAGTTTTAGACAATAACAACAGCACGCCGTGCCGAAAAGCCCCCGAAATCGAGTCTGTCATAAATAAACCGGGCGACCTAAGTTGAACACAAAATGCAAAAATAAACTGCTCACTGTACAGCACAGCTTAATGACAAGATAAAATTAGCAGTGGTAATGTCATTAACACCACTGAAGGCAGAAGTGTGTGTTTGCTACACAGAGGGATGGATGGTTTAAAATTGTGTTACGCAATTTCAAAACTGCCTTGTGGCCTGGGTGTCTCTTCCTTCCTCCCCCTCCCTCTCTGCTGACCAAATTAAATGGATAGTGCATCAGCCGGTTTCTGTTCTCACCATTTCTCCTTCGTTGTTTCACTTAAACTGCTGCCGAAGTATGCTCACGGTTTATTATTGTTGCTGTTTTCCTTTTTAAAAATAATTTTTATTCAAGCTGCAGATCTACTTGTTCTTTTCTTTTTGGTAACATTCAGCATCTGTGCCCTTTTTTAGGAGCAGTCACGTACATGTGAGGAGGACAGTCTGCTGAGGTTTGGGTGTCCAGGATAAGGATGGGGCAGGGGACGTCTGTTCCAGAAGACGTAGAGCAAGCCGTGGAGGTGCTGTCGACGATCAGCGGTAAGGAGAGCCTCGCGTTATTGGACGCTCCGTCGCACCACATTACTGCTTATCACATCTCACGTCATCTCATCTGTGGTTCTGTTGAAAGCAAAACGTACATTAACACATCTTTATAGTCTTCTCCAGGTATCCAAGTTAGCTTTTTCAGTCCTTTACATATGATATTTTGTACAGAAGTCAATCTGTGCTTATTTATATTGTTCACAAATATGCACGTAGTGCTTGAAGCCAGTTGCTTGAGAGGTTAGTCGCAGCATTTATGAATTCTAAACAGCAGGTGTTGGAGTTAGTCAGCTGGGGCCAGTTTCACAAAAGCAATTTGCCAGCATCTGCAATTGATGCCAGTGTCCTGTCTCACAAATCATTGTCATTCGCAAATTACAGATACCGAGTTCACATGTTCACACAGTTGAGCATTTCACTGGAGCAGTCAAATTGCTAATTATTTATTAATACAAATCGCAGCTTATGTGTGAAGCAAATCTCGTGGTTTATTAAAAAAATAAATGATTTATGAGCTTCTAGAAGAAGTAGGATAACTGCAATTCTGCCCAGATATACTATATTTAATGAGTTTACACCCAATCACAGAGCAGACAGTTTGGCAGGATTTGCAGCAGATGAGCAGAAATATTAGAATCTATTGACATAATTTGCTCATATGATATTTTAAGACAAGATAACTGCGAAGAAGACTTTATTTAGTATGCCTAATGCAAGATTTTGTTTTGGTGAAAGGAGCTCTGTTTTTGAATACTTGTGCTCACGATTCACAGTGCAAAGTGATATTCATTTATCACGTACACTGGGTGTTGGTGCAGTGCCTCAGTTCATCTATAGACAAATGAGGTGTGAATGACAAAAACAAAACAAAAAGAACAACAAAAAATACTATTAGGCTACAAGAATTTGCCACAAAGGAGACGTCGGTTTCCGTGCCACCATAGTGTAGTTAATGGTCTCAGCATTGCTCCTCTTATAAAGATCGTCTAGCTTTGCTACTGGTTATTAACCCTGTAATGCCAAATGTATCATCTTTGATACATAGTTTGTTTAGACCTCTACATCAGCAGTGTGATGAGATTTATTCATTGCTTTTTTTTTAGTCCTAACTGACCTACATGTTTATGTTATGTTTTAATTTATTTTAAGATAAACTGTGAGCACAAATTGCACAGAAATGCTGGGTGTAGCACAAATGATACAAATTCAAACTCATATATGCAGTTAGATTTTATTTGTGATCAGACTATTCAATAAACACTCTGGTTTCACAAGAAAAATAAATAAATCATATATTTTTGGCAAATATTTCACAGTTCAGGCTTTACAGGGTCAGGTCCTCTAAATTTTATATATTTTTTTTAATTTCAATTTTTTTTTTACATTTATTTAAATAATTTTTTTCAATTTAAATTGTCATCTTCAAATGACTTCAGCTATCGACTTGGTAATGGTCTTTAATACAAGCCCTGTACCTCGTGCTGGACATAATGTTGTCTAATGTGTTGAGCCTGCAGCCTTTCTTTGCGTATTTAACTCTGCTTTTGCGTCAGCTTAAAAACTGCGCTCCTCTTATTTGGAAACGTAACAGTTACACAATAAGGGCATGAAAGATTGTAACATTGCTAAATATTACACCAAGTAATTGTCCCAAAGTTTCCAGGAGCACTTAAGTCGGACAATGGGCTTTACCAGGAATAAGGCGGGATAATTCAGTTTGTTGTCAGTGTGATTACGTCTGCAGACGGTTTCAGTTGGAGGGAATAGGTTTTTGATCTTTTGGATTGCTACTTGATTCATTAATAAATCTAATTGTGCAGAATGCCACATAATGAAAAGTGCATGACCACCTTTTGCTTGCGCGCTTTGTACTTTTTAAATTGGGAAATGCTTGTGCGATTGTGTGATGATGATTTAAGTGAAATAAAGGTAATGCGATACTCTAAAGGTGGTGGAGATCTTTGCAGATGGCACCAGTGTAATTTTAGTTTCCTTCCCTATCACCGGTACCACAGTGCCACAGTCAGAAGCTCCCATTGTCTGAGCTGCATGCTTATTAGAGCTTTTTGACTCCTCATGATCTATAAATGAATAATAACTTTTAAAAAAGCAGTTGAGGAATTTGGTTAAGAAAATGAAACTATGTGAGAGTTAAGTCCTTGTGTTGGATAGAAGTGGTGAAAAACACTGTGGTATGCTCATAAACCACTTGCTGCTACTTGCACGTAAATGTGCAGTAAATAAATAGTTTGAGTTTACTTTTATCTCCAAACGGCCAACCCAGAGTCAGTCTCAGCCTGTGATATATGACACCCGTGCACGTATTGCTGAGCCAGTTGCAATTAGCTGGAGAGGGATTTATGTCTTAGCTCACCCTCCACCCCTCTTTTCCTGCGATAAACGCAGCCCAGACATGGAGTGAGATAAATAATCACACACTCTGCAGTCTAATCGAGGAGAGGAAGAGGAAGGCAGCTTAAAAGACGCCTCACGAAGAAAAAGAAAAGAAAGGAAGCTCACAGAGATGGTACGAACTGCTCTCTGAAGGAAAGATGTCTCTATTTGAGATGGTTCAGGAGAGCCAAGAGGTGTTCAATAAACTGCTCCACAGTCTGTCTGTATCCATCAGCGTGTTGACCCGACAAACACACCACAGTCTGAGCCATCAGCCGACCTGGAGGAGAGGTTAGTGTTAGAGTGCGTGTGCTGATTTAAAGTGTGTATTTGATTCTCCTTTTATTAATTGGAGTTTTCTCACTCTCACGCTAACTGGACGTGCTGTGTATGTATGATGTTCAGTGGTTCAGTCTCTGCTACTTAAATCAGTGCGACAGGATGATAGGACAGGATTTCCTACCGCTAACCGGGAGATTCCCTCTGTTTTTCCCTCCTTATTCAAGCATAATAAAAGAACCTGCCTGTTTAGTTTCCTGCTGAGGTTACAGTAAGTCCACAGTTGTCTGAGGGACTCGAAATTTGACCAAATGAGCTACAAAGGGAAACAAACATGACACGCTTTATAAATGATGCATGGTGTAGCTCGGTGCATAACTTTTTCTGTGCTGTTTACAATAAGTCAGGGTTATTGGGAACCTGGTTTAATTTAAATATCAATTTATCCCAGAAAAAACAATTTTGGTTTTGCTTTAGTTAGAGGCTAAAAGTTAAATGACTTGACACCAGGTTTCTTCTTGTTAAAAGGGAGTTTTTCCTTTCTACTTGCTTACAAGGGATCGACTGATTGTTGGGGTTTCTTTCTATTTTTGTAGGGTCTTTATAGTCTGAAGCTTATTGAGGTAACTGTAGCTATGATTTGGTGCTGTTTAAGTAAAATGTAATCAATGCTACAGAAAATATATGAATATCTGACTGGAAAGTCCTCATTTAACATATGTAGTTGAAATTGTAAATTTGTTCTGCAGATATAATTCTTGATAAATTGCTAAAATCTCCTCTTTTTTTCTTGTGACCATGACACTGTGACTTTATCTCTGCTGGGTTTGCATTCAGCATTTGTTGTATATTTTCTCAATGCATTATACCAAAAAACTTTTCTTTTTAAAAAAAAAAAACAACCCCATCACTATCTCAGTCAGATACACCCTCATCTGTCTGTCAGTAAAACAGTAAACCAAAGCGCTAGTCACTTAGTTTTCTTTTAACCCTGGCAGACCAGCTGCCACTTTAATGTGTGCTCTTGAACGCAACGCTCTTTGGTGTTTTGACCTTGGTAACTGATTAGCTGATAAGGCTGTGAGTCGCTAATCGACCTTAGGTCGTAACACACCGACAGTAGAAATGTGTGTAGTTTAAAAGGAGAAGCCAAAGTCAAGGGAACAGAGTAGAGCTGCTACATTCATCATGGCTACTAGTCTTTGCTGTGGCCGCCAAACAGTGGAAAGAAAAAGGAATCATAAGTCCACACAGACAGGTGAGTGCTGCCTGAGTGGGAAAAATTAGCTTCTTTAAAGTTTGGAACATTTTCTTGGGTCACAACTTGGTTAAGAGGTCATTTCAGGGTCACAGTTAAGGAAAAACCAGACTAGAAACAGTAATGTTTCTCAGAGAATTAGTTTTGTTGTCATGCAGATTAATTTAGAGGTTTATCTTTTAACCCCTTCACTCTTCATGTGTTATGAAGATGTGCGACTTGGAAATGCTGTGGATCCATTTCTGCTGTAGGGATACTGGGAGTTAGTCTCTGCCTCAGAGTTTATAGTGCAGGCCAAAGTAGCATATTCTTTGATAATAATCCATGTGGTAAAATCCAAGCTGAACAATGCTGACGACATAAAAATGAGTGTTTGTGAAGTTGTGATAATGCAGTTTTTAACACACATGATGCACTCGAGTGAATCAAGTCGCTTCTGTGCTGAAGGAGCCAGGCTGACCAATCAAGCTCTGGCTGGACTGTGACGGTGACTTCTATTTAAATTTTGTTTAGCATTCATGAGGTTGTGTTTTTTCTCTTAGTTTTTAGTCTCAGTTTTATCCCAAAGAGTGTGAATCTGTAGATTTGTCATGTTGACTTTTTCTAACAGTCAACGGTGAGAGCAAATTGTCAGAATAGTTTTTTATTCTCTGTACTCAGATATTCAATCATGAATGTTTCAACCTTGATTCTTTTGTTTTTCAGCCGTCCTGTTGTAAATTTGCAGCTGTGCTTGGGATCACTGTCCTGTTGCATCATCCAGTTAGAGCCAAACTTTAGGTGTTGGATAGATGGCCCCTAAAATATTTTGGTATGCAGAGGAGTGCTTCTCGACTCAGTGACTGCAAAACAAGCCCATATCATAACCCACCACCGTGCTTGACAGCCGATATGATCTCTTTGTGCTAAAATGTCATTTGGTTTTCACCAACATGACGCTGTGCATTACGGTGAAACATTTCTACTTTCATCTCATCAGTCCAAAGGACATTGTTCCAGAAATCTTGTGGTTTGTTCAGATGTAACTTTGCAAACCTAAAACGTGCTGCCACATTTTAGAAAGAAGAGATTTTCTCCTGGAAATTCTTCCAAACAAGCCATACTTCAGTCTTATATTTTGATTTTTGCCGCCACGACCTTTAACATTTAAGATATTGACTGAGGCCTGTGAAGTCTGTAGCTCTTGGGTTTGTTTGTTTTTTTGCAGTTTTTCTGAGCATTGCACGGTCTGGCCTTTGGGGTGAATTTACCAGGATATCCACTCCTGGGAAGACTCACCCACTTTTTTCCAATTGTGATTAATCTTTCTAACTGCAGACTTCACATTGTTTGGAAATGGCGTTTTAACTCTATCCAGACTGATGGGCAGCAACAGTTGCTTCTTTAAGATTATTGCTGATGTCTTTCCTCCTTAGTGTTGTGTTAACAAACACCTGAAAGCTTCAGACCAGCAGAAGTCCAAAGCTTGCTTTTAATCAGTGAATCAAGTGTATTTGTCTAGCAGCACTTGGCTAATACTTGCCCTCTATTCCTATGAAAGCATTAAATGTGTATTTAAGTTTCACACAGTGAAATGGCCTGTATTTATATAGCGCTTTACTAGTCCCTAAGGACCCCAAAGCGCTTTACATATCCAGTCATCCACCCATTCACACACACATTCTCACACTGGTGATGGCAGCTACATTGTAGCCACAGCCACCCTGGGGCGCACTGACAGAGGCGAGGCTGCCGGACACTGGCGCCACCGGGCCCTCTGACCAGTGCTTCTGCATTTCAACACAGTGCAATATGTCATGCTGTTTTTCATCTGAGGTTGTATTTACCTAATTTTAAGCCCTTTTATGGATCTGATTATATTCATTATTTCCACATAATTAAACCATAGAAATTAAAGAGGGTGCGTTTTCTTTTTACCACGACTGTTTGTACAGAGACTTTCTCAGTAGAAGGGAGGGGCCAAGGAAACAAGACCAGTGTAATCACTCAAGAAATGTTGACCGGTGTGCATATGAAAGAAATAGGGAGGGTCTAGAAATACAGCAGAGGATTAGGGAAGTGATATTCTGCTCCGTACCTGTGGAGATGAAGACGTTAAGCGAGGAAGAGGAGAATGGACAGAGAGTCAGGATGAAAGAATGCGCAGGCGAGAGGTTTGTCTGTATTTCGCTGGAGGAGATGGAGAGCTACTACAGATACAGCCGCTGCTGTCAACGGCTGCACAGTGAGTTTCGCAGAGGTGTTTCTGTAAGATTTAAGGTGTTCTGCTTCATGTCACTGAGCTCATCTAAGACAGGAACCTGGAGTTGTAATGTCACAGATGACAACTTTGAGCTACAGTTGGATTTTGAAGTCTATTTTGGACATCAGAAATTGACTTACTGCAGCACACAGGTATAGGCCATTGCTTTTGCAGTGCAGGTAAATTGCAAGAAATGTAAAATAAGAAGCAACAGAAATGTGCCCCCCTTTTTTTTTTTTTTTTGCAAATGATGCATTTTCTCTTAAATGCTAAATCGTCTCTTATGGAATAAGTTCCTGCCATTTTTAATGCCTTACGTTAGCATTAAATAGCCTAACCAGCCATCAGGGTTTAGAATGGCTTTTGTAAAGGTTTCAAGGATTTCTTAAAATATTCACAAGAGCACGATGTTTAGTTTCTGCAGTGCTCTCAGGCTGCTCTGGAGAAAATCGGAACACATGACAAAATGAAACTAACCTTGCGCTCACAAAGTTAGTGGGTTCATTATAGGTTGACTTGGCTAAATCTTGGCTTCCCCCTCTTCACAATTTATTTTATAATAATAATAATGATAGAAGATTTTCTCTGCTTGATGGTCAAGCTTATAATTCACCCATAGCTGACCAGTTCATCTTTAGTCATTCGTCATACTTATAATCTGAAGATTGTTTTTATGGAAACTGTGTGAAGAAGGGGAATGAAGATGCACAAGAAAACATGGCAACACTGTCAAATGGCTCTTGAGACTCCTTGTTAGAGGAAGTACATGTGGCAGAAAGCATTACGGTATCTGCTAGATCCTTATTTACACAAGGTGGTTCAGTAAGTTGGCATCAGTACTTGAAAGTCTACGAGGTTGACAGAGAAAGGAGAGGTGTGTCTGTGTGTGTGTCTCCATCCAGCATGTATGCATGTGGGAAGCGTGCAGCTTTTGATATTTTTTGTGTGTGTGTGTTTTAGATCTTTGCCTTTCAGTGATATTTCAAGTCTATTTTGGGCCATTTTGATATGTATATTTTTAGTACAAGCTATTCTCGAAATACTTTATCACAAAGCTAGTGCTGTGTTTTGTTTTTTTCCTTCTTGATCCTGTTCTCCACCTTATTGTAGCTTTATCAAGTCATATTTCTATCCCCTGTCAAGATGGAGTCTTGTGGCCATTCGTCCAATGTCAGGATTGCTAAAGTTCTCTAAGATACAAAATCACAGCAGATATTCAAAGGTAGTAAGTGCTTGAAGCACATCTGCCACAATTGATAATCAGCTGTTTTCTTTATTACTTTATGTGGAAATTTCTTGAATCATTTCTTGTAATTTCTTGAATCCTCATGACAGAGATCAGTCTTCCCCTTAAGTACCAAGCCTTCCTCTTTCATGGGTAGTCTCATGATTGTGCAGCCCATTTCCCATTCCCCCCCCAATAACTGATAAACAACTGAGATCATCTGTCATCATTGGGTGCTGTTTTTGTTTCGATTCATACTCCTTCAAGTTCTCATTTGTAATAACATT